ATTCATTGCCATCAAATTAATTTCAACTCATAGTGACCTTTGGGTTTTTGAGGCTGTAAATCTTTATAGAATTAGATCACCCCATCTTCCTTCAGTGGAGTGCCTGGTAAGTTTGAATCACTGATCTTACTAGCAACCAAATGCCTTATCTACTACTCCACCAGAGCTCTCATGCTCTCTCTGTATATATACATACATACACACACATACATAAATTTCACTGTTAATATTAAACTTGAAATTTGTCTAAAATTTTTTGATGGGAGAAACCTTTAACAGTATACAGCCCCTTGGCAGGGCCTATGTGGTATATTTGATAATTGAGACAAGTTCATGCAACTGGATTAGTGAGGTGAATAGAGTGCAGTTTGAGATGCTGGAGAGAGATAAGGTGATTAGAGGAGGAAGAAACAGATCATTAAACGTCTTTTAAGTTAAATTAAGAATATATGTGTTATGGATTGATAAGAAAAGATAGATTAAAGTCCTAACCACTATCTCTCTGCATAGGACCTTGTTAGGGAATAAAATCTTTCTCTGAAGATGTTGAGGTAAGTTATTAAGTTATACAGCAGTACTATTGGTACCTATATCCCTCTTGTGTGGTGTTTTATAAAAGGGGAGAATAGACATGAAGAAAGGAGCTCTGGTGGTAGTTAAGGTATTTGGCTGCTAACCGAAAGGTCTGTGGTTTAAGGTCATCATCTAATCCACAGAAGAAAGATGGGGCAGGCTGCTTCCATAAAGATTTACAGCCTTGGAAACCCAGTGGGGGCTGCTATGAGTAGGCATCAACTCCATGCAGTGAGTTTGTTTTTGTGGTTTTGAGATATGGAGACAGAGTCATTTAGGAGGAATAATCTAAGTGATAATACATACACAAATATTGAAGGAATTCCAAGGATTGCCATCAGCCACTAGAAGCTAGGAGAGATGTATAAAAATTCTTTTCTCAGAACCTCAGAAGAAATCAACATGGCCAGTACTATGATTGGGAATTCTAAGCTGCTCATTCATGGTATATATATATATATATATATATATTGGCAACTGTAGGAGACTAAGACTTTGTGTTTGTCTCAAGAGCAATGCTAAATTAATAAAGGGGTTGGTTGTGTTGGCGTAATAAGAAAAATCATACTTGAAGAAAATATTTTATGTGTAAGTAATATTTCAAGACTACCAGATGGCCAAAAAATAATAGTTAAATATCCTTCTGGGTCTCTGGACACTCCACATGGGCATTATCTCTGATTTAACTAGAATTATGGCTAAAAAGACAGTCCTAGATTTACAGTGGCTAAGATGTCCAGAGTAGAAAACAGCCAAAGCAGTTAATTCAAGCCAAATTTGTTATCATTATGGGTCGAAGTCAGGAAAAAATAGAAGAATTATTTCACAAAGAGTGGACATGGATAAAATGAAGAAAGAAAGACTATCAGATAAGGGTAAATCAAAGATTGAAGAATAGGTTGGGATATATCTACTTCAGTGGACAATACAAAACAATGTATAATATCATGCATTTTGAAAGCCTTAAAGAATAGAAAGAGAGAAATTTGATGAAAAAACAAGTCTACCTTAAGCATTTAAACTATGTTTGTATTAAAAATGTAAGGTCTTTCCCAATTGAACACTGAATTTGCGTATCCAGTTGCTGGGGAAGAAGAAAGGAAGAAGTACTGAGATTTACAGAAGGCAGGACGTTGTGGTGGATAGGAAGCAAGAGGAGGCCACTCATGGAAGGCGAGAAAAGAGTCAAGGCACAGTCTCCTCTGGTGGAGAGTGTGTCAGAGGGCCAGTTGGTGGCTAGTACAGGAGAGTGATAGAACGAAGGAAACAAGGGGAGAGGCTGACCACTATTTCAGTGAATGAGTGAGTGGGGTGGTGAAGATGTTGGTAAAGCTAATTATATTACCATTATTTTATCATGCAATGTAATTATTTTTTGTCAGTTTTTACCATTTTTGACTGAAAGTTGGTGGCTGATAGTATATCTATGCCATTTAAGAATGGGGGTTCATAACCTAGGAGCCATGGCCTTCCTAAGGGACCATGCTTTAGAGGAAATGTGAATCAAATCAAATGCAATTATCCATGCATATGCGCTGTTCTTTCAGAAGAGGTCCGTAAAAAATGATCCATTTCAAAGTATGTGTCATCTCCAGATATTAAAAAATTCTTAAGAAAGTCATTTATTTTATTTCTTTCACTGTTAAAGTTGCTTATTTTAATATTCAGTTATGCAAATTTTGTA